ATATCCCCTTGAGCCACCTTTTCGAAATAAAGCGAAATAATAATTATAAATGTCCCGGTTTTGCCCCCCGGACTTGTGTTCGGCTTTGCCGCAACTTCGAGTTGCATGAAAAATATTCTCAGATATAAATGTAATCCCAATTTAGTGGTACTCAAAATCCCTTTCGATCTTAGCTTCTATGATATGACCTTTTCGAACACGACTACGTTTTTTCAATTAGGTGTATCACTGCAAGATATTCCTGAAATTTAGCTCGACATCTAATAGCGGCCTAGCGACTTCCTTCTGTCATTCATTTTGAAAGTCTGTTTATAGATATTTTTATATGCGATCCTTAGGGGCATATAGTAAGGCTCCTTCTGTCATATTGTTAATAAATAGTAAGTACTTCATCTTGATTAAGCAAAACCAAAAGGCACTTTGACTCCTTCTGAAAGGTCGCCGGAGGCGCGAGTCTTTTTTTGGCCTCACACCCGGCTACTCGCGATATTGTMGTGTCCGACTTTGATCATGCTCGGATGCCGGATTTGAAGCCGAGCTGGAACTGGGCAAAATCACCTAATTTGGTAATGATGAGAAAGAAAGAACTTCTTGAGAAATGGAAAATCCCAAGATTTGGTGTCAGTCAGTTGAACAGTGACCAGAGTTGCAACCTTTCATTTCAAATATGATAAATGGGATTTTGTCCAGTCCCACCTCGACGTTGAAATTCGGCAATTGATTTAATTAAGCACTCAATTAAAATTGTCAGTGAAATTCTGATTATGTGGATGTCTTTTTTATAAACAAATAAATTGACGAAAGCGGGTAAAATGGCGGGAGTGGCGCCGCGTCACCGACAAAAAACAGTTGAAAACACGTTCTAATTCACGTCATGTATATATTATATGGAATTTAAATATTTTTTGCACAGAGTAAAAACATCTTGAGAGCTGAGATATTTTGAGAGTGTTTACATTTTTTCAAGACAAATTTTCACATGAAATAATTTGCTTGAATTTATAAAACCGCGTTATACATGCGGGTGGGTTGAAAACGAGGCAGCGGCACACATGCGCAGTAGGTCGCATCTAGTCCATAATATACTCTTCAATGGTGGTGAGGTGAAAAGCTTCCGAGGACACTGAATTTGGACGAAAGTTAGACTCAATTATAAACTTCAAATTCTCAACTATTCAACAATTTTGAGACACTCTAGGCATCTGAGATTATTGAGGAGTTGTGTAGTGTCGAAGCTATGGTGGTAATGCACGAAGGGACGAGGTAATGGCAGATAAAAGGAAGCTTCAAGGTAAGAAATGCCACTGGCTGGACATCATGGTGGCCCTAGCGTTGCATGTGCCATCTCGAGTTTGACGGGCCAAAACTGAACTTTCTTTCCCTCTCAGGCGAGATTGAGCGCTGCCTTAAAAAAGTCAGTGAAGGAGTCGAAACATTTGAAGATATTTGGCAGAAGGTCAGTGGTAGTGCTTTCTTATGTTTACGCATTTTTTGTTAATTATTCTCAGAACTACTGATGCKATTCTATCATATCTTGTCGAACTGTCCTCATGTTTGACGAATGTGCATTGAGTTGCCAATCGCTTGCCTTGTTCACTAGGTACACAATGCATCTAACTCTAATCAGAAGGAGAAATACGAGGCGGACCTTAAAAAAGAAATTAAAAAATTACAGGTATAGAAAAAAAATACTGAACTTATTGTCACTCTACCTCGCAGTAGAAGAATGTCCATTCGAAATTTCGTTTGCTTTCGATCAGGGATTTTCACTTTGTTTATTTATTTTCTATTCTTGTTAGCGACTTCGAGACCAGATTAAGACATGGGTCGCATCGAACGACATCAAAGACAAGAAAACATTATTGGACAATCGAAAGCTCATTGAACAAGTAACTTACRTTCATCAACGCACATTACAATGAGTCCTTGTAATTTATATTGTCAGGGCTATTTTAGAACAGGAGTGTGAATATCCTTTAAGCWATTGAATTTRATTTTCTCTAATTACTCTGTTTTTTTGTTTGCCCAGCAAATGGAAAGGTTCAAGGTTGTAGAAAGAGAAACRAAAACTAAAGCATACTCTAAAGAAGGTAAGAGAGRCTTTCCTATGACATTTGGCATCACTGTCAGACATCATGTCATCTGGCGTTGATTCTGATSTGATGCCCATATCATGGATTAATATTGAAGTATTATTATCACTATAAAACATCAACTACTGTTATAAATCAAAATAATKAAGTAATTTTATTTAAGTTAATTTCGAAACACATGTGTAATCTAAGGTATTGAGTAAAAAGTTTWTAAAACAAGCAATTTTCTTCAGCAATGATTAGTAAAAGCGTTGATGATTTGCTTGGTAAAGAAATTTTTTWACAATATCCTTACTTTTGCCACTTTTTCTGTGCAAACGCCTGTCATGCTTCAAGGAAATCCTAAGTCCATCATTTTAGTCATTTTTTACCTACAAAAAATGAAGCTAGAATCAAGCAATGGAAACACTTCTATGTTTTTGAAGTAATGTTGTGTAGTATCTTGATTGGAAATCTCAAACTTTCTTCATTGGTCACAATAAAAAATCGAAACGACATTATTCTTGGTTATTGAAGAGTATGCATTGCACTGTCGTGTTATTTGTAATAATCCATGCGTAATAATCCTGTGTCCAACACTCAATAATAACTACAGCAGCTGAAAAAATCTTCATTTTACACTTTCTCAATKAAATATCTATCACAGCACGAGGTTGCATCTGTGTTTAAATGAAAAAAAATGGAAAAGCTTTGACAGAAGGATAAATTATTATGCGGTATATTATATTTCTGGTAAAGTGTTGTACAATATTAAGTTTAATATTAATATATTAAGTGCCCTCCGATTGGTCAATAGCAGTGTGCTATTAAAGTGGTCATTTTTTTATTGCACATAATTTGATTGGTCAGAATTTTTGTTCTTTGTTTRCTGTTTTTATAAACGCTAATGAAATTGTCATGYTGAGCAAATTTAGAGGGAAATATTGTACCCTGGTTCCAGAGGTTTGTCTTTTATTCTTTAKATTGTTTGCTTACTTTGCAAACTGGTGAGAWGTTTCTCACTTTGATGCTGACTATTTTTGCGAACCAATCAYYRATCGGAGTAATATGRTCTGTCATCTGTGATGAGCCCTGATTGGTTCATTTATTTGACAGCCRAAATACTTTGCGAATTGATAACATAGTAAGCAAAAGAATAAAWAWSAAGCCTYTGGAACCAGCAGGGTAGAAATATTGTAGAACTCAAATAAATTCCATTTTTCTATGTAATACACAGAAGACATCAAAATACATTGAGAATTATAGTCATGAATTGTTCTCATTGCATCGTTTTGACATCATCTGTGTAAGAATCTATTAAAAAAACATTTTGGACCTTTGTCCTTGAAGTTCACTGAGTACCCAAAGTCCAAGGCATCAGTGAGAGCAATAAATTTTTGTTTATACTCTATCATAACTTTTTCTTAAAAAAACAGCAGCTCACAGTAGTCTAATGTTTGTTTTATTTTTGGTTAGATTGTCTGTTTTTGTCTGTGTTGTGACTGATTGATAATGACTTTATTGCTGGACACCTAGTGTTTCTTTGCATAGTTTTGACATTTCATTGCCTTCCTCACAGTTTTAATCATTTTATAATTAATCCAACATTTGACTGAAGTAAATTTCTATCTGTGAAGCTCATTAAGTCTGTATTAATTTTGTACAAGAAGATTATATATATTTTTAGAAAGGAGCAGCTTTTCTATTAATTGATTTTGAGTGTGTTTTTTCATTGTGGATCAATTAAATGAACAAGTGTCTCTCTTAGATGTAGTGCCCCTATAGTCTACACGGTGTGATTCACCTGAAAACATTACTAGACTTGTCTCATTTGGCCTGCTACATCCGTACCAAAACAAATTGTCAAATTTCAGTGATCTAATAGCTTTTAGTAGGTTCAATGTTGATTCATATTTTACTAAATCTGTTAAAATTTGTGATACAAATTTTATTGAAAATATGTTTTTGGATGTAATTTCTAGTGTTAAAATTTGGTATGGTGATAGCTTGAATCAGTTATATTGAGTGCAACAGCTCACTTTAGATATTCTTGTTGTCTAAMCGCACACAAAAGAATTGTGGATGAGATTTTTGAAAAAAAAAGTGATAATTCTTTTGTTTCTCCTAAGACTTGTTTTCACTTCTTTTGTGCATGGCCATTCAACCATAATATTGATTGAAACATGCATCAAGTTATTTGTGTGCCAAATAAAATCACTTGGGTTTGTGCTGCTGCGGCACAACATTTGAATCAGGCATTTGTTATTAGTTACATTATATATAATGGAGTTACTGTAAGCAGTGGTTCCTTGCAGATTTGTTTTGAAAGTACTGCAAAGTATTCATTAGTTTTGGAAAACAGTTATGTAGGAAATATTATGATAATATATGTTAATTCATGACATTTTTACTTGTGACGTCATTGGAAAATAAAATAACATGTGAGAAGATGGCGACCCGGTGATATTACTGTGTATTAACTGTGACCTGTTGGTGGATCATCTGGCCCAACGAGGGCATTCCCAACAGTTATATGAGCACCATTTTTGGTAGGAATATTTTTGTTCACAATTAATTCTCATGGCTGTTCTGTCTAGGTTTAGGTCTAGCGGCAAAGATTGATCCTGCCCAAAAAGAGAAGGAAGAAGCTAGACAATGGATAACGGTGAGAACAATTTTTCCTGTTGTTGTTGTTTTGCATTTGTGTGTTCTCCGTGGCCATCTATGTTCCCTCTATAAGTGACTGTTTGTTTATATTAGTACATCTGTGCGTCTGTTTTGACCTGGCGTGAGTGACATTAGCGGGAGCATTACTGTAACATATTTTACATGTACAACTAATACACCACATACATGTATTATAGATCATAATTAATAGAGGGGAATGGATTGGAAGCCCTTTGTTGTACTTTTTTTGTGTTTGTATGCATTTCAAGTTTGAATCAGTCAAGACCGTGCACAAATTTTTTCTTATGGATGATAGAAATTGCAAAATGAGTGAACATAAATATCTCTATTAGAGCAATGAAATATTTTAATATTGGTTAATATGTTTTGTGCATTTTGAAGAAATAGTCAAAAGTTCGAATAATTTTCGCTCTGCTCATTCAGATGTGACTAGTATGACTAAAACAATAGTTAAACAAAAGATTGTGCACTGACACGCTTGGAAAAAAGTGCACCAAAGCGTACGGCAAAAAGCTTCCTAACCATTTCCCTCAACAAACTGTCTCTAGATGAAATAGTGCTAAATGGAACTGGATTCTGGAAATTCCTTTGTTTTCTATTGTCTTATTTACCCTTTTTGTCACTATTTTATTTATAACCCTATTTGTCTTTGTATTTTAGGAAGTTCTTGATAAACTTAGACTTCAGGTAGGAYTCTCATTATGAGTATTTTTCCTGTTTGTACTAAAATGCAAAAACATTGTCATAAAATGGTAAACAATAGACCTTAAAAAAATAAACTTAAAAGAGATAAAGTCTACAGTTAAGAATTAATTGAAAAGTGATTAAATACCACTCGAACTGGGCCAATTTTTTTWAATGAATTATTTCTCCTTTGTAAGTGCATGGTAATGTTTGTACTATTAGGTGCACAGAAAAAGTGAAATTCAAGCAAGTATATTTTTTTGTTTAATTGTGTTGAATGCTTGCCTGCCAAGGGGTTTTTCCATCTGTTTTTTTTTAATTATCCTCCAGCACATTTCCCATCTACATAATAATTATAAATTTTATATTTTTGCTCATTTTGGTGTTTGTATAAGAAAAAAGATCAATTCAGACTCTCTGTTTAACAGCTGTTTGATTTAGCATAGATATGAAACTCACTAAAAGGCCATTTATACTTACCTTTATTACAAAGCTGTTTAGTTAATGTGAACTGCCAAGTATTGTTCTTTTTACATCTGTTCTGGTGTTTTTGTTGTTCTTGTGTTTTTGTTTTTGTTGTTGTTTTTTGCACGAACTTACAGGACTACTTGGATTAAAATTTCCAAATATTGGAAAAGGTATAAAATCCTTGCCAAACTAAGTACATGTATTTGAGTTTAATAATCATTAAACAGCATATTTTTAGAAAATGTTCGATAAAAATTCTCAATAATTTTGGCAAAACAATTTTGGAGTACATGACAATATTTACTCTGCCCTTTGGTTCCTCTTATGAGCCAGAATTTATCAGCTTTGGGATGAGATTTTCCCTGACAAGTTTAGGAGTCATATATTTGTCAAATCTTCGAAGTGCTTAGAGATATGATATAAGAGTGTTTATATGCAAGTAGAACTCTATGTAAAATTATTATTTTTATTATGTTTTTTACAGGTTGATCAGTTTGAAAGCGAAGTGGAGCAAATGTTTGCTGGATCAAAGAAGAAAAAACTTGATAAAGATGTAAGTAGTGTTTGCTAAGTTGATACAAAGCACTAGCGACATAATGTTGCCCTATTATCAATATTTTCAAGGCTCATGTGCATTTAAGTACCTTTTCAATTGTTTGTTTGTTTTGTGATAAAGAACGTACAATGTTGATGAGTGGTTGTCATGGAAGCATAACCCAGACATCACAATGCCAAGCTTGAGCTGGAACATACATGTGTTTAGATTRCATCAATTCTACATAATCTTGTCTGCATCAAATGCGTACTACATGTAGGCTATATAGTTTAAATATTTGGCACAGGTGATAAGTGTTGCAACATTATTATAAATGTACCAGTGAAACACCTCAGTGAAAATTCACATCTGAGTGATACCATGCTTTAGTATCCAATAAATTATGGGCTCTCAAAATCCAGCATTCTGATTGGCTACCAAACTATGGCATATTCATGATATACCACAGATGGCAGTGATAAAGAGAAAAAGTCGAAAAATGCTGAGAAAAATTGTTTTTTTTTAAATGTTATTTTTCTCAAATATTCCCTATACTTTGGTGGATAACTATCAACTAATAGTCCTTTTAACCTTGTGGTCTACGTGTAACTGTATAAATACAGCTTCAATGACTTTCAACCTTTGAATTTCTTATACCAGAAGCAAGATAAAGTAGAAGAGCTTCATACTTGGGCAGAAAAACACCGATATCATACTGAAAAACTAGAGGTTTGTAGAGGTTTTTAGAAACTAAAACTCCACCCTACATATGGTACTACTTATCACTTGCCTTCCCATGCTCCCTTGCAGGCTTAGCTTCCTTGATGTGACTTTTTTAACCATGAAAAAATTCATGTAACACTTTAATTACTTGTATATAATATGCATTGCAAAGCTACATGTAAAGGTGTATTAGCTAATGACATTTACTGATAGAGCAGCCACACCCATGCTAAATACTTGGATGTTAAAAGCTCGGGCAGCCCAACCTCTACTCTGTCAATAAATGTCAGCATAGTGAATATAAGAAAATTGCAAATTTATAATGTGATAATCATTTTAGATCGTATTGAGAATGCTGGATAATGGAAAAATTGAAAGCGATGATGTAAGTGAGACTATGATGTCATTGCATGTTTATGTTTGGGGGAGGGGAGGGTGGGGGAGAATGGGCATATAATTTTAAAAATGTGCAGAGTATTGGACGGAATGTTGGGGAAAAAAATGAATTTGTTACTTTATTGAAAAAAAATGCAATTTTTGAATTTTGTCTTGTCTAAAATAAAGCCATATCCTTTCAATTCCAAATGTTCACAAAGAGTATGTTCATGATCAGTTCTTTATCACAGATCAAACAGCTTCGAGATGACATGGATTATCACTTAGATTGCTTTCAAGACCCAGACTACCAGGAAAACGAGTTCATGTATGACGATTTTGATTTTGAAGAAGAAACGGGCGAAGAAAATGATGCTGATTCTTGTAAGTGTGTCATGCTATCTACTGTTAAACCTTTCTTTATGTCATGTATACATGTAAAATATGAGCGGGGCATTTAGAGCTGCAAGCAAGCAGATTTAAGTCAATGAAGTTTAGATGCAAATATTTTATGTTGCTTATCAAATTCTAACATAGCTAAAGCATACTTTGCTGAAAACAAGAAGATAAAAATATATCATTTTGAAGAAAAAATCGATGTTTAAGTCTTATGGAAATCATCACAAATGTTTATACGAAGATGCTGCCACAGCAATTATATTCCATTGTGTTTACCTTATGAATTATTAATTCCCTTAGTAATGTGTTCAAGGGCAGATCCAGCGGTTGCCAGGGGGATGTTATTTTCCCCCTGTTTTGGAAAGTCTGATTATCACATATGAGATAAATATCCATATTATCTGCATTATTCAGACAGAGACAGACAAGTTCCCCCCTCCCCCCCCTCCCCACTCCCCCAT